CTACATAATCTAAACTCCGTCTCCGAATTCTCGCAACCCATAATCTCGTCGTACCAACGGCGAAACTCTTCCTTACGACGAAAAAAAAAAACCGCGACGAAAATATTCTCACGAATAAACAAACCGTTTCACCCAGCGAAGCTCGGCGTGCCTCCCTGGGCGCCGCCATCTTTGTTCCTGCTTGTGTTGCCAACTTCAGTTCAGTATACTATAATACAGTCGGGTTAAAATAATAGTACAATCTGGTATAATGAAGAAAATAATGGTATAAATTAAGAAGTTCAAAAATCACGCTCGTTTATAATGTTTCTCAACTCACCTGGAAACTGAACACGTAACAAACTCTAATACCGAAAACGAAAAGGAAATAAAAACTTAACGGTTTAATTTCAATTCCTATTTTAACGAAGCATAAGCGAATAAATAAACAGAAATACCCATCAACGATGACGAAGTAGTCCATAGTCACGGTTTAATTTACAAATAAAATAATGGTACAAAAATCGGGTATCGTAATCGTTCTAAAAATACACAGTACACCGGACAGAAACAATAGTGATTGGCAATACTGGTTCCCGCCGTCCTCCGCGCCGCCCGGCGGCGATTCCCCGAACCATATCCAGGCGTCTAGGATCTAACGATTTTTCCAAAGTGTTTCCTCCCCCGGAGGGTACATTAAATAAAGTTCCAAATAAAAGCGGTTTCTCTAAATGTATATATTCCTCGATTTGGGGAATTAAAACACGTACATTGTACATAAATGGCGGTAATAGTTTTTGGAGCGAAGAGTGCCGAAATGAGATAGGAAAAAATTGGGCTCACCCGATAAGCGCCTCTTGATCGGCAGTCTCGGTATCAGGAGAGTCGGCGGTCGGCTGCTGCGGCGGCTCGTCGTGGACTGGCTCGTCGCGCGGGCGAGCAGCGACACCTCCGCGCTCATCCTCGGGGAAGGCATTCCTGAGTCACGGAACCGCCGACTCGCGGACTGACCGAGTCACGGGCTCGCGAGTAAGTAAGTCGGAGGTCGGCCCGCCTCCCTTTACCGCGCCATGTTCGCCCAGTCGACCCTGGAACCACGAGACACTTCCTGGTGAGCGTCTCGTCGCGTCGGTAGTTCGTGCACGTCTCTTTGCCCCCGACATTGAGGGGGGGAGACGACTCGATATCTTTGATCCGAGTCGGTACGGCAGAGCTGCACAAATTAATATCTAGGGACCTTTTCCTAGAAATGATACATTTCCAGACCGTAATAGCTCGAGGTAAACCGGGGAAAACGTGTAATCTTCGTTAATTGAAACGCTCGAGATCAAGAAACTTCGGAGAGTCTCGCGTCAAATATATGTGCCCATAATTATGAAAGTGGTCAAAGTCATATATTTTTTCTTGCGAAATTACATTGAATTAATTTCGTTTGAAATAATATGGCGTGAAATAACTGATAAACTCATTTTTTTTTTCATTTTGACTTAGACCACTTTCATAATTATGGGCACATATAAATGCGCGAAACACTGACCTAGTTGTTATCTGCGACGTTCAGCTTGTCGCGTCAAGCAGGACAGAAAATATTGTTCTCTGAACCTCTTAAATGAATATCGTAAACCTTAACCGTTTTTTGAGCTGTGATCGAGACCGACTGGTACACTTAATACGGAGATGCAGATTTGAATATTTCACTTCCCCTCGGTAGTTCGACAATTTTCCGTCCACCGCTTTCGGCGTTGCATGTATCACGAGTCGAGGAGAACAGGCATCGTTTACTCGCACAATGGACCGGTATCGAAGAAACGGACGGGATGCTAAATCGGGGATGAGTTTTTTCTTCCTGGAAAATAAATCACCGTTCTTGGGAGGGATCCGCGGGTGCGGACTCGTTCGACGCATTCCCGGAATAAAAGAAGGTCCAAGATGGCGGCGCGTGACGGCCCGCGCGTCCTCGCGGCCGTTTCGGCAGATGGAATAAACCGGCGACCCACGGGAGGTAGGGGAGGGGAAAAGAAGGAAAAGAAACGCGGATGAATAGGCCCCGGCGCATTGACTCCTTGACTCACGCAGCCGAGATCGCGTCGCGAGCCTTGAGGAGCTTTAACAGGAACCGGGAACTCCTCCCCAAGGCGAGCCGGAATTCGCTCTCCTCCCTTTGTCGGTTTGCATGGCCGATCGTTATCATCGGCCTCCCGCGATTCGCGAGTCGTTCGCTTCCTCGGTCCCGAGGACCATTTTCGCAATTTTTAACCTCTTTTGGCGCACCCCAGCCGCAGCCGGAAATGAGGCCGCAATGGGCATAAATTATTCCAACGGATTATTAATTCCGCTTGACGCGTTAAATCTAGAAATGAAGGAAATATTTCGAAGAGGTAAGACAAATTATCGGAGGTCCATGGGTTATTCCCAGAATCATGGGCGAGGAAAGGCGAGCATGTTTACAAGATATGAGCATGGCCTAAACAATTGATACGGCTAGACCAAGACGGTCCCTGCGAAAAGTGGACGGCACTTGGTCGAGAATCATGGAAGGGAACAGTTGGACCAATTTCTATACGTCTCCTTGAGGCTTGCATATATAATTTTTAACAATTAATAATCTACGAAAGTATAGACTTGTCAATAGTAGATTCGCCTTCGTTAATTTCACCTCCTACGGAAATACGTTGGATTCCTTTTGGGAAAGACATTTTCTCCGAAATTCCTCGGGCGGGGCGAGACGTTTGTATCGCCATAGGGCGCTGCCCGCCTCAGGCGGCGAACAGTAGGTCAGCATTAGCGCACATGCGCCGAGCGTTAACCTCAAAATATTGAGCTCCTTCCTAGAAGCGCGCGATCGGTTCGATCGGGCGAAGGTGGGGACCTAATTCGGTCTCGCGACAATCTCGGCGACAACTCGGGGACAGGCGAAGCCAGGAATGCCACCTTTCCTCGGGCGCGCGAGCGGGCGCGCGTACATTTACATTTAAATAGAATAGAGCCTCAAGGAGAAATCGCAAGGCTGCGGCAAGGACTCCGCTCGTTTACGTTCGGCTCGACCGAGCCAATGCGAGCGACGCGCCGCGCCGTTACGGATATCGACTCGCTCATTGCGAGCTCCGTGCAAACTTCGCTGGTTCGTTGTTCTTGGTGCGCTTCGCTTCCTGCCGTCGAAGAGCCACCCTTTAAGCCGTATTTTTAATGCCCGTATACCCCAGGTAAATTAGGCATCAAGAAGTTTCCAGGGAAGTATTAAAAAGAAATGACGGAACATTATAGGGAACTGTGGGAAAATGATTAAAAAAATTATTTAAATGACATTTTGTTTCGGGTCGCGACGTTTGAAAATTCTCATGGAACCGATGATGCATCATGGCGACTGTCGTGGAAAGGAAATTAAAGTAGGAGGGTGTAAAGAGTATTTTACGGTCAATCGGAGGTAAAGGGATGAAGTGCTTACAGCACGTAACGCGTCATGCTAAGCTCTGCGATCAATCTCTGCATTTATAAAGCCCGTTATCGCGGATCGTAACCTTGGGAGACCTTATAAAAATCATAAAAAATGATCGGCCGTCGGATTAAGTGGATTAAGTGGAACGTGAAATTTTCCCATTTCACGTTCTCGATGTGGGAGCAGGTTTGCAGGTTTCTCCCTGCTGGTGGCTGTTCCGCGTTGAGAGCAGAAATAATAATTCGAGATCCGGAGTCGAAGATGAACACGTTGTGTACATACCCTGTGTACACTCCTTAGCGCAATTAGGGGGACATACGGAGCGTGTTACCGAGATAATCAAATCACACGAGCCCTTACCGCTTACAGGGGTCGAAGCTACCCCGGCGAATCGCTAGGGGAAATTCTGGGGCCCCTTGTACGTATTGACATCATACGGGAGTTGATTCATTTGTGTGCTTTTTATTATCTGCCCGGAGGCTGAATGTTTTCTCTATCCACAGGGGATGGTGGTAATCAATTTATGGGGTTGCACGGCTGGGGTGCTACCGATGCTTCATCATGTGCAGCACGTCACTCTGGATACAATGTTTCCGGGCAAACATGGTAAGCTCTTATTTTCGTACAATCCGTACTTCAGATAATTATTTTATAAATAATATATCAACTCCTTACACGTCACCTCACCATTAAAATTTAATTAATTAAACATTTTTTCACCATTTTTAGGATCACGGATCTCCTTCGCAACATTAATTGGCATCTCTTAGAAAATTTTCTAAAAACTATCAGGCTGAAAATGTAAAATTTCAGCAATAAATTAATTACGAACCTTCTTTATCCGATACCAGGGGGCCGAGAGTAGCAGCGCACTTCAAGTATTAATGAGATTGGTTGTCGGTTAAAATTGCAAATAAGTAAAAAAACGCGTCACGTGATGCGCAAATAATCTCAGAAGCGTACACGCAAGATCCTTCCTCGGCGGCGCCTGGATCGCTACTAGCCAGCGCAGCGCGGCTGCATCTAGGGTTGAGCGAAAACGGCGCTGCGTCGTCGTGACGTCACGGATCGCCGCGTTGCCGTGGCAACGCCACCGCGTGTGGGAATTCCGCGAGAGTACGCCACTGTGCATCGATATGCACGTGCGCGCGCACATTCATAGTACGCTTGTGCCACGCAACCCAAAGTACACGTGTGCATAAATACGTCCCACATATGCACGGGACTCGACAGAAATATGCTTTTCTGCATCGATATCCACCAGGAGTAAATAAAAAGAAAAAAACAATGCGCAAGTAGACGCACCTTACGTCACCGGCGTTTAGAACCTAATGTATATCGAATCGATCGACTCACCCATATGTAAATTCTATGCTTCGGCATTGAGAAAGAAAGAACGAGAATTTGAAAAATTTCTCTCTACACTTGTAGGAGTAACAGGGAATTTTTTTTATTTCAGGGGGAAGGCGGATATCAAGAGTGACGTAATAAATTTGAGGAAGAAGGAATCCTTGCCTTGATCAAGAAACGTCATTAAACCACGCCTTGTTTTTCACCCTCTTTGGTCAATATTAATGGATCAATTCTTACGTTCCATTCGAATTGACCCCATGGTCGCGAGAGAGAGGAAATTAGTTCCAATCGGAATAGGTAATGCGGGACAAAGAGCCTATCGATCGATCAGGAGTCAGTAGGGTCTTGAAATATAGAACCGAGGTACTCACCTGCCGACTGTCGCAATTCCGCACCGCATCAGGTGCGCGGTACCTGGCAACTGCACGTCGAGACCGAGCACCGAGCTTCCGCGTGTCTGGATCCCTCGTGACTGCACTCGGTCAGGTGCAGGTGTATGCAATTCGTATTTAGATCGCATCGATCACCTCTGCACGTCATGACGACCTACAGTCGACCCGCCGTGACACACTTTTAGGGGTAGAAATTGCGGCGCTCCAGGTGCGGGGCTTTCACCCCTAGGAAAACTCCCCCTTCTTCCATCTAATTTTCATCGTTTCGATCTGAAAAAAACATCAAAATTTATACTTACAATTTTATCGCGCATATTCGACAAATAGTTAAATTAATTTTTCAATATTTGAATATTTTTTATTTGCAGAGGGAGAAAACGTCAAGTGGCAGAGTTCGGGGCATGGCGATGGTTTTGGGTATTGTCAATTTTTTTAATAAGTTTTCGAGGGCGACTTTTCTCGGAGGGGGGTTTCTTAAGAGGACCAGGGGGTGCCCTAAATGTGGAGATCCCTGGCTTCGCCGCCTATGGAGGAAAGCGGGGTAGAGATCGCACCCCTCGCGAGATTGCTCGGAGCATCCGGAGAGGATCGATACTGCGTGTGCGCCCATTCGCTCTCAATCGCTCTCCTGCCATTTTCCTCGCTGGACGTTTCCACGAAAACGTCCGGGAAAATCATTCTGGAAAAGGGTCATTATTCCCGGCAACGCAGTGACAGTGCCTAATTCGGGTTTGCAACGACAGTCACCGGGTTGGTACTCGAAGGTTCGTCTCAACAGTCAGTGGATTCCCAAAAATACGGTGTTACTCAGTTTTATATATTTTAGGAGTTTTAACCCTGGTGATCTGGTAAATAAAAATGAAAGACAGGAGAGAAACGCGGAGCCACGTGAGTGTGGTGCCTAAATAGTAAAAAAGCACCGATAAGGTCCCCAAGAGAAAAAGGAGGAAAATGATCTGAACCACCCAGAGGCGAGAAAATTTTTCCCAAAATGGGGACCAGATTCGCGGCCTGTGAGTTCCGACATTTTCTAATTTTTCAGAGTATTATGAGACTCGATTTAATGCCGGATGAAATTTTTCACAGACACGTTAAAATTAACGAGTCTCCATGACTATTACCAAAGGCTCCTTCATGGGAGTCAACCGATCCCTTCTGGATTGGACATGGCAAACACCGTCAAGTATTTCTCACAAACTTTGCTCTGTAAGTGAATTATCTTTTAATTCCCCTCGTGTTTTTTTTTTAATTTAATATTTTTAATTTTATTTGCAGCCCTGCTAAAAGACGTCCCGGGCTCACCTCTGGAGATGATAAAATGCCAGGAAATGGACGGACAGCGAATGGCTTTGTATCCTAGTCTGGATTACAAGCAGTTGTACAACGCACTTGCACAGCTGATGGACGTTGTCAACCTCGTACACGTAGGGTTACAAGGTACGACTGCGGATAAATAATTAATTCATCCTTAGATGGAGCGGTCTTATGCGGATTTATTTTAATGCCGTCAACTTTGTATGCTGCAGCGTTCGGACAAGCCTTGTTGCAATGCCTTGCGTGTCTGTTACCATTCCTGGAGCAAGACTTGATCGATAATGTGCCGTACTTAGCGGCAAGTGCAATATCCGTCCTTCCTGTGGAACTGCACCAAGAAATCGTCAATTATCTCTGTTTCTACATTTTGCCCTTCACCATCAGTACGTGTTTATATTCACATATACTTTTTATGATATTACAAATTGGCCTAGGATTTGATAATTCTGTTAATGCGGTGATCTACATTTTCAGTAAGAAAAATGGAGGATGGAAGCGAGAATTACGCGAGCCAATCCATTTCCGCAGTGATCATGATGGTTTTCCAGTACTCCAGCAATCCCGGTATGTCATTCTTACCTGAACTTCGCTTCGAACGTAAAGTTAAAAATATTATTATCGATGTAATTGAAAAAAAAATATTGTTCAGCTCATCATTGTCAGTTACTGGAATGCCTAATGGCACTTAAACCAGGAGTGGTGAAGGACATTCTGTGCGTGGTGGCCTATGGTACCGCTCCTGCTCGAGCAAGTGCTGCGAAATTGCTCTTTTACTATTGGCCGACGTTCAACCCGAATTTATTCGACCGACGAGCCGTGCTCGTTAAATTTACAAGTAAGTCCATCAAATAAATACGAAGATTGTCACACCCGCTGCATTATCCGCTCTCCTAGTCTACGCGAAATTCTGCGACTTTAAACATTTACGCTGAGGAAAAATTGATTTTCCAGACGACCTCACTCCGTTCGTCTGCCAAAGAGATTCGTGCCCGAATGCAGGAAATGCCGAGGCCGGAAAAGTCTGTTACGATCATTGCGTCTCCATAACATTTGCCACCGAGTCTCCTCCTCCGATATATCTTTGCATCGAGTGCGCCAATGAGATCCACCGAGAGCATCCGAATCAGATGTTCTATGACATTCTGCATCCCATGCAGCAAGTATCCATGGTCTGCGAGAATAAGGTAATGCTACGGACAGAGATTCAAATGGCCGAGATCGATAAGAGTCGAATCGATGGAATCCCCTTCAGAATTGCAGAGCGACCGATAAGTCCGCGATCAGCGTCTGCTTCTCGACGGAATGCGCCAGCTACAACGGCAATCATCCGATTAGATATTGTCAACAATGCCACAACATTCGCCACAATAATCGCCGCGGAGGCGATCACGTCTATCACATGGCGTTGCCTCACATTTCCCAGATGGACGCGCAAATGCAGACGTACATGGTACAAGTAATCGTCAGGTGAGATATGCGATCCTTTCCGATCGTGGCTTTTGTGGTCGACAGCCATTCGCGTTATTATCGATGACGAAGTCTTACGAAATGTTCGACCCGACGTCGTGACTGCATGGAGCCGCGTCTGTACGATCATCCGCGACCTGTTCAACGAAAAAGTCACGTATCGTTCACCATGTTGTAAAAAGAAATCGTCAGGATTCGGAGCTGCGTCTTTTGGAACGGCCTAAAAAATGAGAAATTCCGGGCGAGAGATTAAATTCCGATTTTCAATATATTTCCTGGACTTTGTGAACGAGACGTGCTTGCGCTCGGTATCCTGTTAGATCTCGACGAGAAGCAAGAAATTCGCGGCTGTTTTATGTGTGTACCCTCTCCTATCAACGCGAGAAAATTCGACCTTATCAACGATCGGGATTGGTGCAAGTCAAAGCCGACAGCATGATTACTTACTCGTGAAAATCCTCACCAGTTTTCCGCATACGTTATCCCCGGCAAAAAAGAAACTCGCTGTCGCGGGACCTCTCGAATTTGCTGTAATCATTCCTAAATGGCCAACAATGCAGTATCTATTATGAAGTACTGATCGACGAACACGAAAGGGACGTTTTTGCTTTATGTGTTTTGCCAGTGCTGGCTGACCTGCTTGGTAAGACACGATCCACGGCCTCGTTCGACAAGATATTAATATAAATTATAAGTAATTCCTCGAACATTAATTTTCAGCTCCAAAATGTCGGACGGGGCAGGTGTTCATTATTCATCCCAAGAATGAAAATTACGAAATGACCTTTCTTTGAATATTAAACTTTACAGGAATTTCCGTTCTTGGGCACTTTTTATACTTACCTAACACATTACCTTCGTTAGAATTGTATTGTCTGTATGTTGTCCTTTTCACTGTACCCTCCACCGTGAACACTTTCTGCATTTTTGTTCTCAATTGTTTGCTAGGAGATGGTTGATTAACTTTTCTAGGAACCTTCAAATCTGTCTAGAATTAAACATTCTGTGTATATTTAGAACCTTCTATGTCACAACTGGAAACATTTGAATTCTCCTAGTTTCACTGTTAGTCATTTGAAAAACTAGACATTTCATATTATTATAAACATTGCTGCATTTTGTTAAGTACTTTGCCTGCTGTGCAGACTTCGCGTGCACTTCGACTTCGATAATTCTCACCTCTTCCTTTATCATACCTTATCTTTCCTGTTATATAGAAACACGTTTACTCGTAGCTTATAGTTTAGGAAGAGCACTATAAACCTCCTCTTGGGACACCGAGAAGAGTCAAACACAGTAATGCAACCTGCGACACACCGACGTCAGATTTCATTTGGCACTAACCTGACACAATATCGAAGAACACGGATTTCCACCACGTGCTTAGTCTTACCTCTGACACGTCGGTATGCATACATGTATAAGAGAAGACACAAGGACACCTAATTTACCTCTCTGCAATTATCTCTTTCACTTAATGTACACTGCAACATTTTTCCACTATCAACTAAATGGTCAACGGTCACCCTCTACCCAGCAGTGCAGCTAATCTATAGAAAGCATCTTGACATGTCTTGTGAAATGTATGTAAAGTGTAAACTTGCCCGACACGCCTTAATCATCGTAATTACTGTCACTTGTGTTGAAAGGAGATTCATGTTTCGCTTTTCATTATGACTAGATTCGTAGACACGTGTAGTAGTGAATCAGCTGATTCTGATTCAACAATAGCCGACACGTACTAAAATGTTAATTCACGATCAAGAATGCGTTTGCACAATCAATGACCGATTATGGATTAAATCGTGTCTGCCGATGTTCGATAAATGAAATCAAGTGATCGTAGAAAATAAGTTTGCGATACAAAATTCGAGATGATCGTTACCTCGACGGTGATCCGTATTTTCACTAACTTAATAATAAGCTCCGACGATATTTAATGTGGAAATTGTAGTTTCTCGACATTCGATATCGTGGAAAACAGGCTCCACTCGAAATTTTTCAGGATTTTCCTCACGCCTGTAATTTTCAAAGAAAATAACGATTTTCTGGACATTTAATTAAATGGACAAAAAAATTGGAGTGCAGCCTGCCAGAAAATCCGGATCCAAAATATGAAAATATAGTTTATGTCGTTCTTGCTAAGTGAAAAACCTCCGAATATCGGCAACGAGTAAACGCGACTCTTGATCGTGTCCGACAAGCTCTGACGAATTTCTTTTCCTATTTTTGCAGCCTGCTCAAGGAGGCTGAACCGCTAAGTATGGATAGTAACAGAGACATCTCGGAAATAAGTACTAATAAGGGCAGCACAGGATTCCCAGGAGGAGCCGGAGGCAGCGGTCCTGGGGGAGGATGTCTCGGGGGTGGACGATCCGGTCCCTGCGATCCAACTACCCTGGAAGAACGACAATTGCTGGGCCGATATGGGGTTTGGCTGCTGGTCGGCCTGTGCACCCCGAACGAGGATACTCCCGTGAAAATTCTCGGACGTTTATTGTCAATGCTATTTCATTGGTTTCATGTCACTGCCTACTCATTCGATGGTACAAAAAAAAGCCTTATGCATCTTATCTTTTCTGTTGGTAATTTAACACTTCACATTACACTATTGAAGTAGAGTAGGACGTAGGTATAACTGGCTGCGATTGTAGACACATTCTCTGGAGGGCGAGGCCTTGCTTTGGGGAGGGCCGCCATTTTGGTGCACGCTTGGTATTTTCTCGGAATCGGTCCCCTTATATGTTCATTCTTTTTCCATGGGTAAGAAGACTAAGCGTTCACCTCCGAAACATTTTTTTATCAAACCGCTGAAGCCTTGAGGATATTTCTGGAGTGAATATTTGTGAGAAGAATGGCAATTGATGCGTGTTATGTTGGGTTAAAATGGTTGACCTCGCCGAAATGCAGCCTTGGCTGGTCCGTTCTTGTTCGGTGTACATACCTACACGTCTCACGCATTCAATGTAGGACCTTTACATGCAAGTACACGTACATACAACATATATGATATGTGTCAGACTCGATGTGGTAAAAAAAATTGCTCTGGTGATTCTAACGAGCCTAAACAAGAATGCGTCTAAGTCGCGATAGTTGTCAGATTTTCCAGCCGATGCATAGAATCGAGGCATGTCGAAGAAAAGCATTTGGACGTGATTTACCGAAACGTTCCTTCCGCAAGGCCATAAAAAAATATATATACATTACTTGCAGGACCTCTAAATTCTATGCACCGACATCGTAGTGAGCCTCCAAACTGACGCGATTTCCCTGAATTAAATTCTCTACCTCTTCCTCTGACTACTCCATGCATTTAATATATTGACATGAGCAATACATTAAACGTATTCCCACACGTCATGCGTAATATTTGTGTATCATAGATATGTTGTTACGTGTGACACATGCACATCTCGATGTTCCCCCTCGATGGCACTGAATGATACCTCCGTAGTTTGCACTTTGCTGGCGACTCTTTTAGCGGTCTCGAAATATTCCACAATTTTCTAGGACAAGCCGAGAGTACCCTCGAAAAACTGAAAACCGATTACGTTTGCGGGTGGCTGTCGGAAGTCATGAAAACGCACTACGAAGTTTTCATCTCCTGCCTCTTGCCACATCCAGCAGACTACGTCAGGGTTGGAGGACATTGGTGAGACTTTTCTCATATCATTTGGCCTTTTTTAATATTAATAAATCTATTACATATAATAATTCCGATTTTAGGGAAACTTTAGCTTCGAGGACGTCTCATCTGAAAGATGGACTGAATCGACTCTTTTGCTTGGTCCCATACGAAGTGATAACGACCGATGTTTGGGATTACGTGATGCCTCATTGGATGGAGGCCATGGTGAATGACGTACCGGAGAACGAGCTTCACGAGTTAAAAATCATCTTATGGTAATTTCTTCTTATTTCTCACAAATTGGTAGTTCGCAAAAATAGACATATAAGTATTATCCTCCCTCCCAGCAAAATCTTGGACCCTGATATGAGCCCCTTGGGCTTCGACGCGAAGAAGATGTACAATTTCGTGGCGAAACGATTCAAGAACACCAGCGCGAAAGTACAGGAGCAAGCCCTGAACTGGTTGCAAACCTTGACCATGCTGGAGATCATGATTCCCTTGAATCAGCTGTTTTCCATGTTTAGCGATGGCGTGGCAATCATGGGAGCGACTAATCTCGGAGACGTCGACGATGGCGAGCAGAAGGACCGAAATACTGCCGACTCTACCGATGGAAGTGTAATATGTCGGTATTCAAAAAAAGAAATCCAACCAGAAAAATGTGCAATAACTTAATAATACTTAAGAAAAGGTTAATATTTTTTTCAAAACAGGTCCTGTGGTGGAAAACGAGTCCGGCAGGTCTACTCCTTTGTCCGACGACGTAATTCCTACCCCTCGACATATGGAATTCTCCACAAACGCGGAACTAAATCTATCCTGTTGTATTTTAATGTTGGACGTGTTGCTCAAACAGGTGACGATTTCGTAATAATTATTCAAATTAAATGTTAAATACTTAATTTTGTAATTGGATTTGTTTTTTAAGATGGAACTGCAGGACATGGACAAACATACCGGGATCAACACTTGGGTATGTAGGGATGCTTGTCACCTGATGAAGTCGATCGTCGCCGCGACCTGGAGCGGAAGTCACATATGCAAGGAGGACAGCGAGTGCACTTACTGCGAATCCAGAGTAGTTTGGCATCAGCTGTGCCTGCAATTGATCACTTACATGGCTCCGGAGTACCCAGCCTATCCACCAGATGTTAGTTTACCATAATTTAAAAATCTGACCTCTTAAATATTTTCCAAAATTCGGCGCGTCAGTAGAATTCCACAATGATGAGTTAATTGTCAAGGCTGGAATTGTCATTACAGACTATCGTCGATGAAACTGGAGAGGATCACGGTCGCAAAAGTCCTCCGGAATCTGCAAAAAAATCCGATGCCAAGCCGGACGTTGTCATCAACATGCCGGTTCCCGATTCACATTCAGTTGGCGGAGTTCTTGTCCACATGCCTCATGTATGCATCTATTACAGATCACCTAATTAACGGGAATGTAGTGTAGCATGTAGTGTAAATTCACCATTTTCAACGCCTCTTTAATGTGTATCCCGCTATGATGTGTGTCTAATCTGTGTCTCATCCAACGACGTGGCACGTCATCTCGATACGGTAGGCTAATCGGTCGCCCTAAATGAATCTCTTGATCGTTTATATCAGTTTTTCGAACAGATTATGACAGCCACCGTAGAGACAGTTTCGGAGCAATTGGACCTAGCCGCAATAATGCCCACCGAGAAAGTCATATCAGCAGTTGCAAGAGCCGTCACGTTATCGGAAACTGATGTCGGTGAGTTACGAGAAGACCCTTCCTCCTGAAAACGTATGTTGGAATGATTATTTAAAAATTGATAATTGTAGCAACAGCCACGGTAAGCGTAACGAGGGCTAATCTCATCGGAGAGAACGACCAACTTCTGACTATCAGCCCCGAAAACGAGCTGGACGACTTCTGGCACACTTCTGTTGGAAAATTTAGGTTCACCATCGAAGATTTACCGGAACAGCTTCAGTACATACACAAGCTTCTGAAGGTACGCGATTAAATTTTCTAAAGAAATCATTTTACTAACGAGTAGTTTTATCAATTTTGGGTTATTGTTCCAGGAGATCACGAATATCGACAAGCCGGATATTTTGTATTACATGCTGCAGTGCTTGAACATGCTGTGCCTTTACGGTGACGCCTTTAGTGTCGCTGTGAAGGACCACCAGGGATTTTTTATTTGGTGCCAAGAAAATCTGCTGATTAAAAAGTAAGAATGCAAGTACAGACCAGAGAATCGACAAAGGAAACTCTTAATGGGGCATACCAAATTTAAAATTCATTTTTATAGCCTGTGGGAATTATTGAACGCGGAGCATTCTCACATTGCCCAGGTCACCGTTCCATTGTTATTACACTGTATAACGTTGCCTTGTGGTGCGGATACTTTCTGGCGTCTTATACAGGAGGAGTTTCATGACTCCGATTGGCGAGTCAGATTCGTGGCTGGTGAGCTACAACAAAAAATAAAAAAAAAAATAGATGAAAAATATTGAAATTTGAAATACTGTAATAAATTTTCCAACCATTATTTCCTCAGTTGAACGGGTTACTTTGATAACAAGGTTTATGGATTCAACTCCATTAAGGAATGTCCTTAGTCTACAAGCTGCGCTAGCTAATGCGTTTTGTTACCTTATCAGCAGTATGGATGACAGTAATGTGTACGTTGCCCAGAGAGCTACTCTCTACCTTGGAACAATTCACGATACAGCTATCAGGGTGCGTATAAAAATATATAAATATTTTTTAACAGTCGTTATCAACATCACAGGAATAAATGTATTTTTACAGTCCCTGATTCTATGTTTGGAGACTCAGTTCGATTCGGTTATAGTGGATAGACCGATGATACTGCAATCTCTGTATCAATTACATAACAGTCTCAGTGACAGACGAATCCTCACGTGGGAGTTTTTCCTAAATCGCTTCGATGCGCTCTTTTTAGAGGCGCAGATAAACCTGGAGAAAACCGGTGACATATCTTACCTTCGAGGTAATTCAGCCCAATTAAAAACGTCGCGATGAAAATCTAAATTGTCCTTCGATATCGTAGATCTCAGAAACACGGATCTGAACAGCGAAACCTTCGTCCGGAAATTACACAGAGCGCACGAGGCCTTGTCGAAGTCCGATGGCAGTGGAACAAGTTCCGTAAAAACCTTGAGTGCAAGTTTCGGGACAAAATGGCCCTACAAACGCACAATGTCAGCCCCTGCATCGATGATTCCTCGACAAGACACGAAGCAAGGTACTCCACGCATACCTCTCCCCTTAAAAGCTCGACAACCCCAAAATCCTAGAAAATCAGATCACTCCTACGAAACAATCTGACACTACGTCGTCAGGAGTTAGAGAGGAAACTAAGGATCGTTACACAGTACCTGTAAATACTCCGGTAAAAAATAATTGACCACGAACCGGCCACGTACACCTGGAAGCTCATAGGCTCATCGTTAGAGGCTTTGGTTACCGCTTTACAAGTCGGGATAAGCAAATAGATGTTTATTCGTGTGATTTACTTTTTAAGGTGAAGTGAAACATCCTTCAAATCAGTCGATTCGAATACAACCCTTTTTTTTTAAGGGTATTAGACCAAACTGTCCGAAACTTTGACACATCACTCCTGATCATCTAAGAATTGTCCTGGCACATTCAAAATTTGGATTTTTCAAAAAAATGATTTAACTCAGCCCAGACCGGAGCCAAAATGGCGTCGAGCCCTCATATTTCGATCAATATACAATTATCGAAGGCTCTGATATGAGAATCGAAAGGGTCAGGACAATTTTACGACAATTTAGAACACTCTGGTAATCGATAAACTCGCATTTGAACGGGATAAAGGCAAAAAAAGTGTTGTATACGTTTCTGTGCTAAAACTATGGTAATACGAGATCTCGGAGTGAAAATTTAATTGACCTGGAAATCACAGATAGCGCAGGGGGTCCCTCTGCAGTCAATTAGGGCCCCAGGAAGCATGAATCCAGAGGATTTCTGGAGTTTTATTTCGATTTCTTTATAATTATTGTACGAAAATGACATATGGAGTATGCCATTTGGTACAATACCCAATATAATTCGACCCAGCCGTCAATATAAAAACGAACGTCGGCGACATAGACATTTAGAAAAATCTTCTTTATCGACGTCGATCAAGTTCCTCAACGTGTTTCACTTCACCTTAAGCCTTGTATAAATGCAACGATATTTTTGTCATTCTTACCGGAGATGGCGAGCCCCTCTTGGGCCGATTCTCATTGCGGCTCGAGGCATCGCCAAGTTGCGAATTGCGTGACCATTTTTCCATGTCGTAGAGAAGGAAAAGGTGTACAGCCGGCAGTATTCCGCGCCTATCCTCAAAAGGAAGAGCTCCAGATTCGGACTGGGTCAGTTATTGGGTTCCACCCCGCCTAATAACAGTATACAAGGTAGAGTAGTGAGTTTGCGTAGAGTAGATGTACGGTGTTCGCGTACATGGTAAATGTCCTCCCTACATATACGGGCCATTAAACGTTTTGAGCTATATATGCAGGGTTTCGTGAACATTGCTTGTGGATCTCGGTTTGGTAAGTCAGATGACTGAGTACGCATTAAGATGAGACCCCTTCACCCGAGCGATTCACTTTTCTACCTTCGATTCCGGCATAGCTCCGAAATGAAACACCGATTAGGTACACGAAGAAAAAAAAATATTCATCGAACCAAGGAGATAATTTCTTCATTCCAAGAATAATTATTTCACTCAAATAAATTCTCATCGTTCCGAATAAATGTTGCATCCTGTTCATTCGAGTTAAATGATTATTCATTGAATCGACAGAATATTTCTTTGGCTCAATGACATTTTTTTTTTCTCAGTGTAGTTAATGCACGAACAAGCGTAGAGTAGTAAAAAAAGGGAATGTTTCGATCAGTTGACGAATATGAATTTGGAATTTTTGCTCAATCGATCGGATTATTCGCGACGTAGTGGAAGTGCTTGTGCATGGGAAATGGAATGCTTTAAGTGGAGAGATTTAATAACTCTGTAAATATTCTTCGGATAGATATAGGTAGTTCTTTAAAGAAACTTTCATTAGATTCGATGCTTTAAGGAAACTTTAGTTGAAGCAGCTAGGGTTTTTTTCTATCGGTTGAGAAGGTAACGATTATTTTAGATGGCCACGTGCATTCCTTGAACATGGTGGAGGAGGGAGCAAATTTACCAGGATTCGCTCATAAAATTGTCGACCTGGAGGAAGCTGACAAGGAGACCATGCACTTGCTCGTTTTCCTCCTGATGCAATTTCTCTCGCGACAGGATCAAGTAAGTGAATCGATTCTGCACGTCACGAAGACTAATTTTAACATCTTTTCCCTGAATTTTTATAGGCTTTCCCCGCGGACGAAAAACCGCTTTCGAAGACTCAGGGAATAGTCCTGCGACATTTGTACCTTCTCCTAGGATACAATCAGACCGAGCGAACGTTTCACACATCTCCCCAACGTTTGCGGTACGTTGACAAAAAAGTGGGCATTTAATAAATCCAAGAAATATGTAAATTAATTTCATTTAAATCGCTTCAGAATCTCTCCGGTCTTCAACGTCTTCATCACGAATCTCCCTCAGCTACTCGACCAAAACCATGTCATGGGTTGGGTGCTGATCCCTCCGGTATTAGCGATTTTACAGCATTGTCCTTGCCCTCCTCAAGGAGTGCCTCCAACGGATCACCAAGCCCCAACGTACAGTCTTTGGTATCTCGAGCCCCATATCAGGCGTTCCTGGTTGATGTCTCTTCTGGTTATTTTGTACAAGGTAGAAACACGTACCCCTTGAAATCTACACGAGTGTAATTAAATTAAACTGCTTTGTATTCCTGAATAATTATTTTTAATTATGCACAGTGCCAATACGGTCAGCAACCGTGGTGCACCCAGCTGCAAGCTCTGGTGAAAATCGTGCTGAACACTCTAGACTCCCAGCACCATCAATGCAAGAGAATTCCCGCGATGGTCGTCATGGGCGGACCACCTTCCAGGTCTCGAGGTCGGATGCAATTACACGTTTTTCATCCCGATAAAACAGAGACATTCATCCCGTCTCTCTTAAACGAAAAAGAAAAAAAATTCTCTACAGACGTATCCCAACCATCTCTGGGAGCGGATCACGACCTGATGGCGAATGCCGTAGGCGAGATGGATAGCGAAAGCCCTCCCATGCGTGGGCAAATAATTTGCGTCCATCAGCGGAGTCCAGCAGCGGCTCATGGAGGTCACACCATGAAAACCCACTGGGAAGAAAGCACGCCGTTCTACCAGAACAAGCACTCCAGGTCAACAATTACTCAAGTGCACATTCCTTGCATCTTACGATTAGTCATACTTTAGTGGAGCTTCGAAACAGCAAAGTTCCCTAGAATAGCAGTTTCGGAAGCTCCTAGATCCCAAACTGGGGAGCCTCTTCCCAGAGCACAAACTTTATCTTGTAAATAGCTCACGTATAATTAACACATTTTCATTTTCTTCCTTTCTACCGACTCCTCAGTCTGGGCCAGAAAAAGCCTCTTCAGCGGAGATCAGCTTCGTTGCCGAAAAAATTCATTTTACTATTTATCGCGAGAAGCTTGACTCGAAATTGGTCACGTCCACCTATGTTTTCTCCTTGTTTCCATTTCGGAATTCTCTTCGTCCGTTTCTTTAACTTTATCGTCTTTAACCCTCTGCCCTGGTCTTTCTTCTTCCTTAAGATTTGTTTCCTCTCGCCCTGGTTATCTTTTATCGGGGGTTTTCTTGAAACGGTCCTGCTGTATCGTCGAGCTTTTAATTAGTAATATTAATTTTACCTCGAAGATCGACACGTTAGATATAATTACAAGGAAGCGTTTAATAGACATCTCTTCCAATGAATAAGTTTTGCTCCTCCCAGGATGAACAGAAATCTAGGCGATTTTTGATCACGCATTGATATCGCTCGATCCCCTCTCAAGGTAATCAATCTACATGTCCGAAAAAGATGTCCGATATAATCATCGGTGTCCAGAAATCATCATCGATGTTTGAAGCACCGATCCAACTAAGGCTGTATCCGACGTAGATCGTTTTTTAAATTGAGCTCGAATTTGCCCCGAAAATGCAGATCCTACTAATTATTCAAAGGATCCTCTAGTACCGCAGTCCATCCGAATGAATTCGACGAAAAAAATGTCAGCAAGAGTTTCAGATTCAGCTTTTTTGGAGTCAGTGCTTCGGAAGCACTGCTTCCTTTAATGAATTTGAGATCGCCACCGATGTCCTCGAAGCTCCAGCCTTTTTCCCTCCGATCTAATTATCCAGCTCTTTCCAGCTTCCGAAGAATCCCCAGAATCCAACCATTACCATTGTCCCGTAGACCTCTCGTATGTGCCTGTGCATCCAGTAGCAGCTGCTTGTTACAATTTTCGCTATTGTGAATGCCTTGCAAAGCTACTCGATCATTGCGGACGATACGGAGTCTGAGCTGGCAGCAATACCAGAGAGTCCGAAATCCGACAGCACTCTACATGGTAGCAGCGGAGGATCCCTTGGAGAACTGGAAGACAGTGCTGCAGTCGTAAGAAGAAGCGCCTCCATGGTGGCTAAGTCTTTGGTCGTCCCGGAATTGGTCGACAAAGTCGACGTGATCAATCCGGTGGTGCAAAAGTCCAAGCAGGAAAATCTTTCAGGGAGACCAACCTGGTTCCTAGGAAGCGAAGATGACGCCCATCAAGTGAGTTCGACCAGTAACGTTTACTTTTTTTATTTGGAGTGACTTTTATCGGTAGACTTTCTAAGTAATTCTTGGTGAACGTCAAAAGTGGTTTGATCCTCACCATAGAAATCCCTCGATTTTTCTAGCCCAGCAACGGAGCACTGCACAAAAAGTGGAGTGTCCACGAGGGCGTAAAAATGATGGTGACTAGCTCGTTTCTGGGAGGCCAACACGAACCTCTTCGCATGCCATCATCAGGAAAATCCAATATCCAATATTCTGCCCCAAATAATGATATAGCAACCCAGAAGTCGTCGGGATTGTCAGGCGCCATTGCCGTTGCTGCCAGCATTTCTCAGATTCAAAGGTCCTGGTTATCTTCGATTTTCTTGGATGTAGTGCTAGTTATGGGGTATTTCTGTAAAATCATAATGGAAGGAGGCTAATCGGAATTATTGGTGCAGGTCCGATACCTCGACGAAGGAAAAAACACCTCCAGCCCAAACAGAAATCGTCGGCTCCCCTGTGGCCAAGCAAATTGGCAGGCAGAAGCACGTGGAGTACACTCCACCTTTGGCATCTCCAGTTTCTCCCAGTCAAGTTGTCACCGTTCTTGGTAGCGATCACTCCAGTTCCCCTGCTGTCAGTTCCGTGTCCTCCCAAATCACCAGCACGGATAATGGTCAGCAACAGCCTTGGGCGAACGTTCTCCAGCAGGCGATAGCAACGCCCACCGTCGAAAGACTCCTGCCCATCGGCACGGTCGTTCGAACATCTGGTTACTTTTTTACTTCAATATTGACGTTGATATGAAATATCCTAGCTGATCCATTTCGTAAAAACATTTTTTTTACACTTTTGTAGGACAAAGAGCCGCGCAACGGGTCATGAAATGCGAAGAAGTTTGCGGTTCGCCAGAATCTCCGTTATCCAAAATGGACGTACTGACAGTCGGTGAGTAAAATCGAATAAAAATACGTGAAATTAATTGAACGAAATTATGCTCATTCTTTTTTTTTGTCAATAGGTTCTTCGTTCGATCAGGACAGCGAGACTTGTATGTCAAGTGACATTACGAGTCCTAGGAGCATTTCCCAGCTAGAATTTCCCATGCCGGAACGTCTGTTGCCAATTGGTCCCCAAAGGGACGTCGTCTCCAGCCTTGTCGAAAAAGTGCGACAAGCCCTTGGAGTTACCGAACTTGATGGTATTGCCAATAAATATGTAGAAATTTTTCTTTTTATCCCGACAATACAATTCGGAATTTTTAAATTCTATAATTATGGAAATGTTATAGTTTCGGATTCCATGAACATGCCAGGGGATGAGAAAGAAGCATTTGGTGCCATGAAGCAGGACAGCATCACTTCTGAAAACCTGGTAAATTTAGTCTCTTCTGAAATTGAAAAGAAGTTTAAAAAATAAATTCTAATCGGGATGCAATTCCACGTGCAAGTCCGCTTCGCTGGTGCCGGCATCGAATGATGTTCACTCTAGCAGATCAGCCAGTCCGAGACGTTTGACCAAACAAGTAGCATTGGAATCGCCACCCTCGACTGCCGAAGATGAGGATTTCTGTGCCCGAATTGTCGAGCACGACCGAAAGTTGAAGGTGAAGGACCAAACTCGAATTCAGAAAGACAAGTCGCGAAAATCTGCCGGAGGTTGCCAGCATTTGCCAGGAGGCGCCAAACGCATGGACAGTTGGTAAATAAAAATCCTTGCTTCTGCAAAAATGCAAAGAAAAAAATATTAACAAAGACATATTGACAATAATTTTATGCGGAATTGCTTTTCAAGGTACGGCACGCCAATGCAGTCTGAATTGGATAACGTGAAGCAGCAAGCCTGCCATGCAGATTTCACTCTGAAACCGAGTGTCTTTAGAATTGGCGACGAATGCATTTACGACAGGTACTCTTGAAACGTCTGTAACAATTTATTCAATGAATTGTTTGATACGTTATTTTCTTTTCGAAATTAATTTTCAGGTGCTCCGAGTGCGGCACCACCAAAGAAGAATATTCCGACGAAGAGCTGGGTCTCTGCATCATCACGCTGGGAACTTTTATCCACCGAGAGCCAGCTTTGGCGGCTCCTCTTCTTCCGGAGATCCTCACAGTGGTCACGAAGTTAGTCTTCTTAGGGTAAAGGAATAAATTGCTTAATTAACGTCTATTTATTTACGACTCCTAGGGTTGCTCTGAACGCAATGTATCCATGGCAGAGTGAGACCAACATGCATCTACCAGGAGGTGCCGTCAGTGTTGCTCATCAGTTCCTCAGATGCGTTCTTCACCAATTGGCACCCAACGGGATTTTCCTGCAGATGTTTCAAACGCACATAAACGGTAAGCGTTAAATAAATATTTGTACTAAAATTCTTGATTACCTTTGGCGGTCCTTTTCAGAGGCAACCAGGATGCAGTTCTTCAAAAGCGTCGCACAGGCATTGGTAGACTTCAATGAATTGAATCCCATTGCCCCGCTGCAATTATTGCTGGAGGCAAGTCGATTATTTTATTCTTTGGAATTTTTTTACCTCCTTGGAGAGATAGGATTAAAATAATCCCCGCGTTGTGGGGGAGTTTTAGACGCTGAATGCAAAGAAGTCCCTGCCGGTAGAACGACTGCCAATAATTCTGCACAATATGGCCTGTTATTTGGATTGCTTGCCCCTGGAGGCAGGATTAGGTCCTGGAGCTGCCACTTGGGGAGGACTGCTGGCCCAAGTGGATAGTCTTTTCCGGAGACTAATATTACTCCTTTCGTCGATCGAGGACGTCACGCCTCTTCTTCGCATCATGATATCGGTCCTCAAAGTTCCTGGAATCCAGCAGTTTAAGGTAACCCCGTCTCCGTGACGAGATCCTTGCATTGATACGAGAAAACATGACCTGCTCAAGAAAAAAAAAAAAAATGTAATTTTCTTCAGAGCATGTTGGACCCTTTCTCAAAAGTATTGAGTTACGCCATTCAAAATTCAACGCTGAAGTACAGCTACTTGACGGATTTATGCTATTTGTGCCACCGAGGGTTCACTCGTGACCGCGACAAGCATTTTCTCAGCCGAACCATCATCTTCGAGTTAGTACAAGCCATAAAATTCAAGACCGTTGTTCCGGACTCTAATTTCCTGCTGTTGCTGCAGTTTGTCCTACAGGTACTTCTGAAGACATTTAAAAATTACGCCTTCCCATTTTTTCTCTAACTTATTTAATAACGAGTCAAACAGGACGTTGGAGGAACTATGCCCACGAGCGTCGTTACCGAGAATATCCCAACAGAAGTCTCCCCGATGTACAACACGAATGCATCGGAATCTCTACGAGGGCAGATTTCCGATGTTCTGGACTTTCTTGCCGACTTCCATACTTTAAGTAAAGTGAAGGTACCGGGAATTTAAAGAGGATATAATTTAATTTCAAACAAGTTGTATATGTTTCTCTTGTGCCAGAGTTACAGCAAAGGCATGCAAGCTGGCCTGAACGAGGACACGCTTGGTGGGATATTAAAATGCGGTCTTGCACAATACATAGCCCTGGAGATTACAAGAGGCAGCAACAGAGACAATCGAGCCATCTCTCGATACCTTCCCTGGCTTTACAGCGCACCCTCCACGTTGCAACAGGGGTAGGATTTATTTTTATTAGCATACTCTTACGCTTCCTCGTTCGATCTAGTGAACTGGATGAAATAATAAATTCTCTCGGTGATTTTAAACTTATGGGGACATTCTTTTTAAAGGGCTCGCGAGTACGTCGACTGCATCGGCCATATACGTCTTCTGTCGTGGCTTCTCCTGGGCTCGCTCACGCACACAGCGATGCACTCTATTAATAACACCCATATTCATGGTCCACAAATTCCAATGGCCCAGCCGATTCCTCAAGAAGTATCTTGCCACGTGGCCGACCATGTTCAAGTGATTCTTTCAGGATTCCCTGAACAATCCAAAGCGTCCGTCCTTCACATGTCCGCGCTGTTCCATGCATTCATCCTTTGTCAGGTATTGCTAAGTTTGTTATAAAAAAATTTCGTGACACGATTATAAACAAATTGTTCTTACCAGAGTCACATGTCGCATTGTTTTCAGCTGTGGACCGTATATTTAGAGGAATTATCGAAGAACAACGCATCGAACACCGAAGGCCATAACGTCACCTTGAACATTTTACTTGACTTCTGGGGCAAGATCACCCCTTGCATTCTGCAGTTGGTTTTTCACTCGAAAGTGGTAAAAAATCGCATTCTTTTGTTACTTGCTTCATAGAGAAATTAATTATGATTCTAACTGTTCTCGTCGCAACAGCTTGCCGAGAAGGTGAACCTTCATTTCTTGAGTTTACTGGAGGCCCTTTTGGAATGTCGCTCGATCCTCCTCACGAAACTTCTCCCCTTATGGAGTCCTATCCTTTTTTCTCATCACACTCAGGTAAATTATTCTTCTTAATTGCATGATGAATTTGTGTACAATTTTTCTAAGGTAAAAGAAAAATATAAATTTCAGCTTCCGGGCCACCTGCAAATGAGGCTCCAACATTGTCGTAATTTCCCACCTGGGAAAATAATCGAGAATTTCGGCTCGAATCGTAGACAGGACAGCCTGTTGCTTTTACGATGGCTCAATCGACTTCAGTTCAAAATGGGTCAAATCGAAATGCAATCCTCGACAGTGACGCAATTCTACTCCATCTAAAGCAGAGGATCGTTGCAAGAAGAATCTCCTGTAGAGACTGTGATTACGTAAAGTTTTACAGCTGTATACCAGGAAGAGATGTTTAATCGTTACGCATGCATCGCGAATGCATACGAAATTGTGTAATAAATGCATATGTTGTTAAACTGCATTACAAAATACCTAAAAAAAATCACAATTGAACAGGAAAGTACCGAATGGCAAGTCCAAAGTAAATATTATAAATTATTTATTAAATAACAAATACGTAGTAAGTGATTCGGCAGTCGAGTTGCGAAGCTGGTCGAAACGCAGTTGACGAATTGGGGCAATTATTCGGTTATTGACATCAAGTGTTCCTACCGGAATTGCATTTTCGGTCTCCAAATTTCAATTACATCCGCAGCTGCGACTGCCAGTACTTCGTTCATGTAGGCACTCTGTCGAGAAAAAGAATATTGCCACCATTTATGGCGAAATAGGATAATAGAATGCATATGGATGTTAAAAAACAAAATGTTAAGCTTACACTTGCAATTTCTCCGTAATGACAATTCAACGTGTTAAGGTTCAACGGTGGGTCCGTGGGACTTGATATTTTCACAGTTCTGTCCAAAGACACCGTTATTAGGCATCCGGGAGTATAATGCACTCCGTTGATTCCTTTAAGATGTTCGCCCATGTAACACTTGACGTTCGTGAAATCATTCTTCGGGTCGAGAATGTGCAAATTTCCGCTGCTGTCGCCTACGTGCACGATTTCTCTGTGCATGGAAATGCTCATGGGGAACGACCTATTCGACATCTAAGAGAAAATAATAAATCAAACTATTTTCCTCCAATTCCTAAATTCCAGCGAAATGCGCATAGTTAAAATATGTTTAATTCCGCGATTGCAAGTACCGTAATAGACGTCAAGGTCCTTCTCGCTCTCTGGTCCCACACGGATACAGTCTTGTCCTCGCTGGCAGTCAAAATGAATTTCGCGTTCATGGCGAGCTTAAGGATAGCGTTATGGTGCGGTCTAAATTTGGCGACGGGCTCGCAACTTCTTGGGTCGAACACAAAAACCGTATTGGAGGCGCTTCCTGCCGCAAAAGTGGACGTCTCCGGACAGGATGAGATGCAGAGCACGGCTCGAGGAACGGCCCTAAAAAATGACATTTTTAGAAGAGGAGCCAAGTTGAACCAAAGGCTAGCGAATTTTCTTGCTCGGTTACTGTCAGTTGAGCGAGTGGTTCGATTAATTACTACGAGTTCTCTAGGTCGGGCGAAAACCGGATTGCTCGAAACCTTTTTGATAAGTATATAAACATTAAATGTATCGTGCCATCTTCGCTCAACTTTTTCGCACGCGGAGCAGAGGAAAAGTGACCATTCAGATCTTTTATACATGTCATAAGTTTTCAAACGTGAAAGCCCGCTGGGGCAAAGAGCCCATGCGTTAACGGTTCCATCCCAGCCGCAGCTGTAAATCGTGTTTTCTATCGACGTTAGACCCCAAATCCAACCGGTGTGTGCAGTTTCCACCCCCGTGGAAGTGCACTGCTCGTTCTCATCCGCGGGTAAATTCCAGCACACCAGACTGCGGTCTCTGCCTCCAGATATGCAGATGGTACCATTCTGTGGGAAATAAACATTTTTTTATAAACCTAGAAAATTTGATAGCACGAGTAAAACGCTATTCTTACGTGCATTAGTAACAGTCCATCGATGGTACCATAGTGCTTTCCGATGAGGGTCAGTTTCTCCAGAGCATCCGGCTTTTTCCAAAGTGCCATTTGCCTCTCGATACTGACACATGACAATTTATAAAATAATTCATCCTCCTTGTCTAAAAAGAAAGTGGACTCTTTTATCGTCTATGATAATGTCAGTACGGTAGGTTGTTCCTCGGTTTTTCTTTAACTCGAGTGAGCATTAAAATTAAGAGTTAATTTTGAAGCAAAACAAGGTGGAATCATTAGAGTGGAATTTTTAGAATATTCTCAAAGAGGGAAGAAAATGACACCCGACACCAAACAATTATTTACAGGGATTATCGCAAGCTTTTTGAAAAACCATGGAACTAATCATGGAAGCGTTTCAAAATTTGCTGTCCGATAGAAGGGATTTCCTAACGAAATATTATTTATAGGGATTTTGTGTATTTACAGAGATCTCATGCAAAATGCAATGCTCTAGCAATTGGAGCTAACCAGGAGGTAGGACTGGAAAACCAACATTTGGCCATATTTGGCTAATTCTCGCTCTCCACAAGGAGTCGTCGTTCAGAATTTGATTTAAGTACTTGCAAACTAGGCCCAAATTGTGTACAAGAGTGGATGCATCCAAGTACGAACATATATGGAGCAATATCTGAAATGATAAATTAAACAAAGGTATTGGTTATATGATTTTTTGAAAGGCTGCTGCTTATACAAAGAAATGACACGGTTGCAATTTCATGTATACCAAGATCGGCATAAGTGTGCCACTCGGACAGGTTTCTTAAGGCAACGACCAAAAAAGGCTATGGCATGAGTTAACCGTCTTGTCGGAAACCTGAAGTTGAACAAAGATAATGATTTACTGGTGCTACCAGATTTAGATTACGTCTTTGTGCACATTTGAAATAAAATTACAGTATTCTTTCAAAATTGAATAGTTTTTTAATTTTTAAGACAGAGAAAGAAAACTGAATTTTTAAAGAATCGATAGTTTTGTAAATTGCAAATTGTTGGATTTTGTTCTGGGAAAAAGGATCTCCGCACAAACCTCCACAGGAAGGTCCAAGAGCGATAATGTATTGTTTTCCTCGGCATCCGTAACTTCCTTAATGTTGGATTCTTCGTCGCACATTCTAATGAAGAGGTTAGGAAGACAAATATCTTCGACTCGATATCTTATATTCTATTTCTCTCGTATTTGTTTCTGTTTAAACTGTTGACTCGTCGTGTGCCAGTGAATCCGTACCATCCGCGACCTTCCACAAACTTTTGACGATTGATGCGTGTATTCCGTTCGTAACAATAAACAGCGCCTTCAAACCTGTCAGAACGACTCCTCGAAAAGGTATTTAAATTCTTTTGATGTTGGTAACCGACACAGCGCGACCTCTGTGAATAAATCGTGGAAACTCGTGACGAGATCGATAAGGTAGTTTCAAGTAAAATTACTAAACGTTAACCAATCAGACAACGGTATTTTCCGATTAAGACGCTGCGTTATTGGCTACTGACTAGGAAATAACTAAATGTCTCCGTGCGCCATTGTATTCCCTAAGTGTAAAATTGCCGCCAAAAGTAGTATCCCGAAAGACAGTTTAATGTTCTACCTCCATGCAAGAAGCAAGAGACTCATGCTATCTCCTTTGTGTTTATTAAGTCAATGAGTAAGACAGAGATGACGCAAAGTTTCATCGTAATACAGGTATACTGGTCTCGTGCCCGTTTCCCTTAACCTCACCCCTTGAACAAGACCCGGGTATTTACTCTTCAAATAGATAATGAACTGTCACATGTTCTTTTAACAGAGCATGAAGTAAAAGTAATAATTTAATATCTTTAAGAAAAGTTTCATATAAAATCATAAAAAGATCTCTAAATAGCAAATTAAGCTATGATAAAATGACACTCGAAGAAGATAATGAGGATAAATCAGAGGTTATCGGTGAAGACGATGAAGAATTGCAGAAGTCCAAAGTAAGTTTAGTTTTTGAATAAAATAGTTGTACAGATTATATGGTATACTAATTGTTTTAGAATCGCATCAAGTTCAATGCTTTGGTTGACTCTGATTCGGAAAGTGAAAGAAATTCTCTTATCACGAATGAAGTACCTGTAATTAACAGCCCCGAGAAGTCACCCAAAGATAATACTGCAAAGAAAAAGACAGTAAGTATATTATACTTAATACAAAAAGCCTATCACCACTATTACGGCAGGAATTTAAGAAAATTAATTTTTAGAACCGCAAGAAATTTATTTTTGCTGACTCAAGTTCAGAAGATGAAAATGAAGTTAATCTGTTCAAAAATTCATCTGTGGACGATGATGCTAAAAAATCCTCTACGCATGAAACGGAAAAGACTGATAAAGAGAGAATTGTGCGTACATTTAATTATTTGACATTTAAAAATATTAACATATTTTCAATATCAGAGGGTTTGTTTATTTTCAGAGTTTTAATAAGTTAAGTACTTTGATTGATTCCGATACGGAAGAGGAAAATGATAGCAGGTTTTTGAATCATTCCCCTACTAACGAATCCAAACCTGTACGTGAAAAGAAGAAAAAGTCTGTGAAAGCGAAAGTAATATCTTTTAATCAATAGAACTTAATGAATGTGAAAACAAGAAATATTTACATGAATTTTTGCATTAATGTATAGGTTCCTATGAAATTTACGACTTTAGTCGATACAGACTCAGATGGGGAAAATAATTCCCAAGGGCATTTGCATATAAACAATGATATCGAGAGTGGGACTAAAGGAAAGAAAGAAAAGGGTGTCAAAAAAAGGACCGTGTGTATATTTCAACTGAATTACTTTAAAGAAGCTTTAGAGCACAGTAAACAAACAAATTCTGAGCATTTTAATTGCAGGGTTCAATAAGAGCTTCAAAGGATGAGGCAATGAAGCAGATTCGTAGTGAAACACAACGTTTGCTAAGAGAATCACAAGTATCTTTGCCATATCACATACCAAAACAGCGTTCGTTGGAAGAATTTTTAAAAAGGAAAAAAATTGCTCCTCTCATTCCTAATGCACTTACCACAATTGCCAAAATAAGGATGTCTGCTGATGTCGTAGGGTGAGGATTCTCCCATGATTGCAATTTAATTTTTTTATTTTATTTTAAGATTTTTAAATATTTTGCCCATTGCAGAAAAATTTTAGAAGAGAAGGAAAGAGAGGCAGAATTGTTTTTCAAATCATCTGATTCGGAAGATGAAGAACCTCTTTTAAGTAACGAAGCTAAAAATTGCACCACATCTGAGATTTCTACTTTAAAAGGCTCTGATGCTACAGGTGCGGAAGTTATTAATGTAGAAGTGGACCACCACATCGTAGAAGATAATGAAAAAGAAAGAGCACATGACAAGGATACAATAGCACAACAAAATTTAATCAGTTCGGCAACCTCCGAGATAAATGACAAAGAATGTGACAGAATTCAAGAAGATTTAAATCGCAAATCTAAGGCAGGCCATAAAGACGCTGCAAGTATTTCAAGAAAATTATTTGTAGAGGATTCAATGGATATTGATGTCTATAGTAATGTAGATACTCCAAAAGAAGATTCAGAATGTACAGGAACAGTTGATAAAGAAATTCTCAATTTAAATTCAGCTGATTGCGCTGCAGATGACGAACATAAATCAACCAATAAAAACTGTGACAAATCTTCAACACGTGTAAATACAGAAAATGATACAGATTTTATTTTAAGAATGTCGGAGGATCCTCTTGGCGATTTGGAACATAATAAACTATCTTCCGATATTAATGTTACAACTATGAGTACTCGAGACTCCGTTGACATCGAAGGCACGTCAAAAACGCAAGAAAGTATTCAGGATTTAGATATCGCAGATGAGAGTTGTGTGCAAGGTTTGCCACCTCCTGAGTTTGAGGAAGAAAAGAGATCAGCAGCATTAAATTTCAAGAAGAAGGTATTGTCAAACGTGACTTTAAATGTAAAACCATTGTTGAGAGGTATGTCTGGCATGAACATTGACTTCTCGGATAATATGAAACCAAACAAGGAAGGCGTTAATAAACTGCTGGACAGATATTTTACACGCCATGTCGTAAATACGAAAGTATGCCCTAACGATGTCGAAGTATCTGTACTAAGTACAGAGAAGACAGCAGAGGGTGTGAAGGTAGTAAAAGAGATTCTTCCATACAAGTTAACGCAAGATGTTGTCAATAACGATCCTGAATTGAGTAAACCTGGTGTTAAATTGGTGCGTCTAAAAGAGGAGTTGAAGCAGAAAATGGTGCAGAAACGCGACGAAGAATGGAAACAGAAGGAAAAATTAGAAAAAGCCAAGAGAGAAGAAAATGTTGAAGAGGACGAAGTGGATTTAGAGGAAGAAGAAATTGAGGAAGTGAATATTAGCTCCGAAGAGGGAGAGAGTGAACCAGAAGAAGACGATGTCCTTGTGAGAAAGAAGAAACCAAAGGCTGACTGTCCGTTTCTCGATAAAGAAGCCGAAGTAAGCGAAGATGAAACTGACGAAGAGGATGAGCATGAAGACGAGGAAGCCGAAGAAAACAGTGAAAATGAAGACGATGGGCAGGAAGATGTTCTAAACGACGACGAGGAACACACACCGAAAAAATTAAATAGGGTAAAAGTGTTAGACGAAGACTCGAATACTACCAATGACAAGTACGAAGATGAACTTAGTAAAGGAAACAAGAGTATTTTCAGGCGTAGGACAGATGTGGACATGTTTGATGGGAACGATGCATGGATGAGTGACGATACTCAAATTCCAGCTGCTCAGCCACAGGAGCAGGATATGGGAAGCGAAAACTGTAAGACTCCAAATTCTTTTGAGAAAAAGGACTTTTTCAGCTTCATCTCGCCGGCTACTCAACTTAGCTGTCTGAACATGGAACATAGATCCTTTAATACGTATTCCGGAGAAGCAGATCGTTCCTCGGTGGAAAATACTCCTGCAGAAAAAAAGTCTCAAGCAAACAGCAGTTTCGAAAAGCGACTAGGGCTTCAGAAAAAATTATTCGAGGAACCATCCCAAGACGTGAACGACGAAGAAATCCTGGAACTGTGTTCTGGGAAATTTTCTACACAGAACGATGTCAAAAATATTCCGGGTTTAACGGGACAATCTAGCGTTCCAGAATGTAATTCTGAGCTACAAGCATTGTGCTCCGGGGTCTTCAACACTCAACCGGTCGACATGAAGAAATTAGAAGAAAAGGACACGCAAATTGATGACACGTCCCAGGATATGCGTTTAACACTAGAGGAGGATTCGCAAAGTTCAATTGCTAATAAAGAACCGCCCACGGAAAAGCCGAAGATTTATGCCGCGAACTTAACGATAGCTTCGTCGTCTTCCGAAGGTGAGGATATTTTCTCGGACGAGGAAGGAGCAAGGGCGAAGAAGAAAAGGATATTCCAAAAGAAAAAGGTAAAGAAGTTGGACATGTCGGATGAAGAGGAAGAAAGCGATAGCGAGGAAGAATCTGAGGTAGAGGAGGAGAACGAAGAGGATGAAAAATACATTGATTACGACTCTGAAGAAAACGAACTCGTAGTCGTGCCGAAAAAAGATATAAAGAAGGTGGCAGCCGATTTTTTGGAGAACGAGGCTGAGCTGAGCGAGAGCGAATGGGAATCTGCCGACGAAGACGAGAAGGGCCTGGACAAATTTGAGTTCGAGGAAGCCGATGCCGAAGAAATTGACGAAAACCAAATGAGGGACCAATTGGGAAGGATTCACATGAAGCAAGTTTTGGACGAAGATCAGAGAGATGTGAGACTGTTGAAGGAATTGCTTTTCGAGGATGGAGAACTGTTTTCCGAAGGCGGAGGACGTGAGCGAAAATTCAAGTGGAAAAATATTGGTAACGATACATTTAATTTGGTCACTTTCTAATCATTTGGACTAAGGTAAAGTATGATAAAATATTTTATTAATGCAATTCTAGATAAGATACTGAGCGAAGAAAACAATGTCCAGCAAACGAACGACGATGACGGGGATCTTGACGAAGAATCGGAGTTCGAATGGAGAAAACTTCGGTACGAGCGAGAAAAGTTTCTGGAGGAGAGAAAGGTACGAAGCTTTGAATTTATATTCAAATAAAATCAGGTACCAGCGAAAAATGTGCAATTATCGCATTAATTAAAATTGGCATATCTTCATACAGTCGGCAACGAATGAAATTGAAGAACTAATGGATGACAGTCAAGTCTTACAGATGGGAATGAAGGTTTTGGAAAAGGAAAGGAAGAGTCGTTCCGAAAAGGATTTTACTTCCAATAATGTCCCTAAAATAGCAGAGGCGATAATGCCTCGAACGTTAACCGATTTGCTCGGCGGTCCTCTAGCGGACAAAACGATAAGTATTCGACGCGTAAGTAATATACAAAATGACTTTACATAGAGATGAAAAATATTTTTCTTTCAACGTTTCTACCTTTTTTGCAGACTGCCTTGCAGCGGGCTTCCTTCCTAGCCAGAGGGCAGGAGTCTTTGGCAAAATTAGCTGCACTTGTAAAAAATACCGAAGAGGTGACAATCAACGGACCGCAGAATACAAGGAACTTCGCGTTCGCTCATCTGAGTCCTGCAACGGAACCTGAAATTAAAGAAGACGAAACTATCGGCGACCTTCCCAGCAAAGTACGAATAAAAATTTTTACTTACAGAAATTTTGATACTTAAAGAATTATGAGCACGTACATTTTTAATCAATTTTTTTTTTCAGAATGGAAAAAGAAAGGCAGGTAACGACGATACCCCGAGGCACGCCAAGAAAGTAAAAACTGACAGCGACCGCTCCAAAGGGAAGAAACTATTTTAGCCATTTAACAAAGTTGTTTCGCAGCTACTGTACATAGCTATAACCTAGAACTGCCTTTAATATTATGAGAAACGTCTAATACTAGGTTCTATGCAGTGTAAATAATTTCGTGCATCCAAGTATCGTAAGACTCGTTATTGCCTCGGAATGTTTCAATATTTTTTTTTTTACCAAGGAAGGTGTAAAACTATTCGAATTAAATTAAAAAATAAGTAACCGACGGAGTAATTTATTTAAAGACGTAAATTGAAATGCGAAAAAGAGACTTAAATTTTGCGATGGAAGGGGAGCAGAAAATTCCCATCGCTCGTCGTAAAGAAAAATCAAGCCTAAGAACTGACTGTCCTATTTTCCGCTCATCCCTTTGTTCGGGACCAGACAACGATGGTCCAGCTGACGAAGGTAAGAAATGACTAGCGTCCAAACAGACGAAACGAGGACTCAATAGATTCTACCTCTATCGTCGGATCAGGTTACAAGTGCCACGCTGCAGATGAACACCCGGAGCCGAAAGTCCCCATCGAAGCCAAATTCGTCCTTCGAAGCGATCCCGCGACTAGCATTCTCTCACGTTTTTTGAAGCGCACAAAAACCCGCTCGGGAACGGGGGAGGGAATAATCCCGTCGGAACATACAGTCGCATTTAATGTAACTCTATCCAATAATGCACGTCCTCGCCCGGAGCGACTCCGCAACCCCCGCCCGACTCGCAAACGCGCTGAAACCGAAGAGCACCTCCACCAACGGGATACCTTGACCAAGGAGCGGCATAAATACCGCATTAAATCTATATTTTCATCATAAATCACGATTAATAAAATGATTTAGTAATTTCTTCCGAAGCTGGGCCTCGAGTCTCTTCCCATCCGACCAGGGCGAGCTTGGAGAGTTCCGGGAGGAGCGACGTTCGATATTGCATCCTTCTTTGGAAGGATTTGGGATCCTGTCGGGGATATCGGCTGCAGCCCGACGTCCGGGAGGATATTCCGCCTAACCACGAAGTAATAGCTGTCGCTTAGGAGTTCGGTCTCGCGTGGGAGTGCCGGAGGTGGCGAGGGATAGAGCGGAGGCGGAGACGGACGGATAAGGGTGGTTCGTTGCGTAAGCCTATTAGGGCATCACGGCGGTCGCTGCGCCCTTCCAACGGCGGCACAGGGACGCGGGATGCTGGTGTACAAGTCGAGCGGGCAGACACATTAAAATCGCATCAAATATGTAAAACCACTCTCTCCCCACCGGCACTCCGGCCATACCGGCGGCCAAAGCTCCGCTGTACCGCCGGGCAAAAAGCTTACGCTCAAAGACCCGAAGACCGCTTTTACTCCCCCAGGCGAATTCTTAAGCAGGATTCCACGGAAATGCCCGGCTCTCCGGTTCCGCGGCGACGACTTTTCACATTTTTCTGCCCCTAATCGCCGTTTGGTCCGGCCGCCATCTTGTCTTCCCCGGGAATTCGAGCGCTCGAAGTTTCGAGGACGCGCGTCCTCGGGGACCCGATTGGACTAGAATTTCCAATTCTAATGGCTACTGCGGAGACGAGGAAACCCGGAAATTTCAGGTTATACCCGAAAGTCCGCCTCCCACGGAAATGTGGACCTCCGTAATGGCGGCTCCGCTGGCCGCGGTCTTTTGCAAGATTGATCATTTCGATCCAGGCCGAAGCTAGCGGGGATTCGCGGCTTTCGGCTTGCTCTCCGGATTTGCCGGTAAAAAGCTCCGTTTATTCGGTGCGTTAATCTCTTTTTCGCCTGTTTTACCGAACACCGGACGCCGATTTACCGGTGGCCGTAATCGCCGCGGAAAATCACGTCGCCCGGAAGCTCGGCATATAAATAGTTGACGGACGGATGGAACGGCGGGAAATTGTTTCTGCATTTTATATTTCTGTCGCGCGATAACGATTGGAGGTAACGGCGTCGATTGTCGAGGGAAGGTCTCTCGAGGGTAGTCGCTTGGTCTTTCGGCCGCCATTTTGAGGTCCTCGAGAGGCTCTCGTCCAATTACATCGTGATTGTCCGGCCTCCGCTGTCTCCCAAGGGGTGAAGATTAACCACGAAAATCACCGGGGCTTTTATTTTCACCGGAGAAGAAAAAGTATCCGACAATTTCTTATCTCGTAGAAGCGATTTACGATATTTATTCTTTACTTTAATTTCTAGGAGGTCGCTCGAAGAGCGGGAAGGGGAGCCGAGTCCCATCGTGACCAGCCCGTCGATATCCTGGAATTATTTAACCAGTGATCGAGCATGCGCGCTGACTAATTAGATAAGCAGCTCAAGAGATTACGACGGCGCGCATTATTCAGACTTGACCACGGAGAGGAAACTCGTGGAGTCGGGGAAGGACTGCAACTTCGTGCAGAGAAATAATCCCACGGTCGGGACGGAAATTCGCTCTTTCCCGCTGCACGCCGCGCAAATTTACCGCGACGCGGAATTTTCCTAGCGGGTCATCGAATGTACCAGGGAATAAAAAAACTCGAGTTTCAAGGTCACGGCGACTCTCCGACACGAAATATGCGGACAAGTACGGGTCGACCAACGAAAAGGAATAACAAGGGACGGTTCGACGGTTCATCGAGTATGCACCGCTTTAAGAGCGTCAACTCGCAGTTCCAGAAGGAAACCCATGATTGCTTCGTATCTCCTAGCCGCAAGTACTTCGAGTGGATCTATTTTTCAGACGCAAACGAACGAGGGTGGAACCCCACTCGAAGTACGCAAGTGACGCGAGGACGGTTAAGGTACACGATTATTACATTGAAACGCATCGAATCGAGTTAGGCCAGGTGCGGTGGCGGTTTTCGCTCCTCGTTGAAAAGTTCAGACCCCGATAAAAAGTTGAGAGCCGTGACCTCGTCGTTAAACTTTTGGTTATGCATCGTTTTCATGCGCCCGCCCGCGTTAACGGAAAGGAGGCATTAGGGTCTCAATATTAAAAATGTCCGTCTCATCGATATCGAGGTGGCGTGAATTCCGTCGAATTTGAATTTCCAGCCCCTTTCCAAGAAAATTTCGCCGAAGGGGGTTAAAAAAAAAGGAGTCCCGAGGGTGCGACGCCACCCTGCGTGCCCGGCTGCGGCGCAGCGAGTGGCAGCGAGTGGTAGCGCGTGCCCCCAGCGGGTAGTCGGGGCGCGAAAGCGAGGAGACCGGGCACGCGTCGCCGACCCACCGAGGAGAGGGCTGCGACCAATGGCGCGGCGCGTCGGAGAAGCGTGGGCGGAGTCAGGGGGTATACGAGAGTGGAGTGACGCGAGAATGCGTCACACGGCGTCCGGCCATCCCCGAGAGCGGAGGTGATCGGTTCCCGGCGTCTGGAGCGACATCGCGGGACTGCGCACCATCGTCCGGACCGCGGGAGGTTCACCGAGAGGTCGAGGAAGAGGCAATGGCGAGGTGGCCCCGGGTCGACCACCGATGACCTGGGGGCCCGACCTCGCAGGGTGGACGAGGATTGGCAGGACCGGGAGGAAGAGCCCGGAAGCTTGAGATGCTGCACGGGACCCTGCCCAGGGCCTTCCTGGCCCCCGGTCTGGCGTACCGGGGCGGGTACTACGGCGAAGGCGTCCTGGCGTACCCGGGCCCGGCGTATCTACCCTTAGAGGAACACTACCCCCGGCTGGGGGACTCGCCCGCGTTCGCGGGATGGCAGGCGACCCCGAGATCCGCGACTCCGTGTCCCCTGGACCTGTCCCTGAAGCCGCCGCCCACGCCGAGCTCCCCGACCACCGAGGACGGCATCGAGGTCGACGACGAGGACGATCGCAGGAGCCGGGAGGAGCAGCAGGGGCGATGTCCGGAGGACATCCCCTCGGCAGAGGAGATGGGCGGCCCGCGGCGGAGTTCCTCGGTCCAGAGCTACGAGAGGTTCTTCCTCGACGGGGACCCGACCAGGGACCCGGGCGAGGAGAAGCCCCTCGGCACCCCCGTGGGCTCTCCGGGGCCCTTTTACTCCGGGGAGACCCTGGACCCATCCAAGTACCCCGGGGACTGCAAGATGCCGCCGACCGGACACTTCCGCGGCGTGCCGAGCTACCACCAGCAGCTGCTTTTGACACCCCAGCCCCACGCACCCATGACGCCGCCCAGCACCCCGTCTCCGCCCCAGTGCCCCAGGAGGCGCCCCAGGGACGACGAGGAGGTCACTCCAAGGGGTCGCGTCGACAAGCCCAATCCCAGGCCCAAGAAGAAGTACTCGAGGAGGCTGAAGTTCGACGAGGATACCAGCAGCCCAGTCTCCGGCACCGTCATCCTGGGGCCCGACGAGGCGGTCGTCACCGGGGACATCGATCCCGCGTTCAACGTCGTCGAGGTCACCGAGGAGGCCCGGGCCGAGCTGGCCAAGATCGAGAACCGGCTGGGGCCCTACCAGTGCAAACTCTGCAGGCTGCTGCACGAGGACGCCTTCCAGCTGGCCCAGCACCGGTGCTCCAGGATCGCCCACGTCGAGTACCGCTGTCCGGAGTGCGACAAGCGATTCTCCTGCCCGGCTAATCTCGCCTCCCATCGCCGCTGGCACAAGCCCAGGATCTCCAACGGGGAGAACGGGGCCGGCTCTACCTCTGGAAGCGGCACCGAGATCCCCTGCACCAGGTGCGACGCCAAGTTCACCAGGCAAGCCGCCCTTAGGAAACATCTCGCCAACCAGCATCCCGAAACCGGAGACGACGACCCCGAGGAGTCCAACTCGTCGCAGAGCAAGATCTTGGTCAACGTCAACTCCTCGAGCTTGGCACCCGGTGAGGTCCCCACCGAGATACCCTGACACCAGCTTCCGGCCAGGCCCCTGCCCAGGAGGCCAGCCGTCTACTGGAGATTCGGACTGGATCTCATGTAGGCTCGCATGGACCTGGTTAAGGGGAACGGTGGGTCTTGGTGCTCGGAGAACGAGGCGACTCCTATAAGGCCATTGGCACCCGATACGAAATCTTGAAAATTTATCTACGAGGGGTAGGAAGACGATTTCCTGGCCCTTCGCTTCCGGCGTTAACGTCGATTCCTTGCACCTTACGAGTCCCGAGGCCGGTAAGGAAACGTTGCACGCGAACACCGGTTGATTATCCGCCAAGAGCAGTTATGGAGTCTTAACGCCAATTGGGGTGTACAGCGTTCTCGAGACCTCGCGATTACTCGGCAAATTACCCGATTTACTCGACAACTGAATTACTGCAAAATTCAATTTTATCGATTGCCTCGCGAGTCGAGGGGGGACGGAAGAGCCATTCGCGCCCGGAAACTTCCTGGCGACCGTAGGGCTCGTTTGGGCCATTCGTTTGTCCGTGTTTATGCACCTTCGTGACCGATATCTCTTATCGTTACCGGGAACTCGGGGCTAACTTTGATCGCGTTTGATCCACGGTACGGTTGACAGATAAAACTGACAAAGCTAACTAGCCGGGGGTGTGACCAATTTCGCTTGCACTTTCCATGCTTTATTTGGCATTTTTTTTTATACGCCAAGGTCCTTGGAGAGATGAAACCGAACGCGGAAATGGATGCTGGTCGGTGCTCTAGTCAAGGTACCAAAGATAATCACTCTAGTCGAAGCTTAAATGATAATTACTCCTCTAGTCAAAGCATCGGGGGTGATTAACGGTCTAGTCGAAGTACCAATGAAAGTAAATATTGGAGAGTTCATTCAGGGCAATGAATCCTGAAAGAAAAAAACTGATCTCCAGGGTGATGAGTTGAGATGACGAGTCTCAAGTGTGATCGTATATTAGATTCTAGTCATTATGATCGTAAGCAATACGCGAAGGGAGCTTTATATCTCGAAGGCGTGCCGTAGTAACTTTTTTTTTTTTTTTTATCAACCTTCAAATCCGGATTTACCGATTTTTCAAATGGCAAAAAATTATCCTTCGCTCTATAAAAATCAATTTAATATGCAATAATGAGAGTAAATTTTTATCAAAGTACGCCTTCTAGGTAGGGAGCTCTTTTTTGCTGAGAAGTCTTTCTGCCAAAATAAGATCGTAAGCTTAAAGGTGTACGGTGTTTCTTTTTGCGATTTTATTATTTCTTTTCCGTTCAGAGATTTCTGATCGCGATTAAGTAATAACGGTCGCAGGAGGAGGGGTTTTGGATATAAGTGTCAGTACGTAATGCGCCATCTCACGTTTCTAGTCATTTTTTATTTATCTAGTCAGTTCGTTTAGTCATTGTCGGAGTAAGTTTTATTTTTCGAGTCTTATCATCCTTGATCGTCCCGCGATCACGGTCGTACAGCTAAAGTATCAAAGATAATTAAATCTGTGGGTCAAATTGTTCTAGTCGTAAAGGTTGCAACCGTTCTAGTCATAATTAAGGAAATAGTATTAAAAGTTATTCAGAAAGGCTGTCCTTTGCGCGCCGAAAAAATGTTCGAGGGGAAATACGAAACAAAAATTGTTTGAAACGTTTCTAGTCGATTGTTGTAACCGATAACCGTGTCTAGTCGAGTAACCAATCGTAAATGGATATTTAATAGGTCAAGATGTCAAAGAAATTCATAATATTCTTAACATATTTTAGTATGTCATTTTTCCAGTTGGAAATGTGACGTTACTTTGTCTTACGTAAATCAGCGCTGATCAAGAAATTCATTGAATTTCCTCGGTTTAGAGTGCATTTACATTCATTAAAAAAAAAAAAGAAAATTTTTGTTCTATTTAGAATAATTCCAAAAGACCTTAAATTGTTAATCGAACATCCAAGTCACTTTATCTAAGAGTCATTACTACCTATGTGTCGCGTGCAATTCTTTAGTTAATTTTTTATTTATTTCTGCATTATTCTTCGTTCTATTAATTTAGAATGAAAGAGTATGGTCTAGTCCAAAGAATAGTTTAAGGAGTCTGCACCGAAGGTTGCATTAATTAATATAATTTAAGGTAGTCCCGTCGTATTAAGGATAAAAATTGGAATATACATTCAAGATTTTCGACAATTCAATAGTTTCATTTAATCGACAAAAACGGAACTAGTAATGTCCTTTATATATTCTAAGCAAGAAATGCACACATACATTTTTAATCAATAGGAATATTATAATAGTAATTTTTTTACGCATAACCCATGAAATTAAAACTCTAGTCAAACATTAAAAGGAATCGATGCACTATTCGGGAATAATGCAATTTTAGTTTAGCTTCGATTATTTTATAATTTAGAGTACACACGAAAAGGGCATCGAAAAGTAACAAAACATTTTAGCGATTAATTATAAATCCGCTGCGCAGCGATTTACATAGTTATAATATCATAGGTTTAACTTTCCCCCGCCTTTTTGTTCCCTAATCATTAAGTAACGACAAGTATATATTTATAACAACCGAGTTTAAGTTAACGAAAGGAACCGTCTCAAAGCAGCTCTCTAATTTTGTATCGCTTCGTGTGTTTTCAAGCTGGACTTACAATAACTAATAATAGCTGCGTCAATGTATAGTTAATTAATTATAGAATACAGTTAAATCAATCGGTACTGTAATTTTAACTGGACAGATATATTAGTGTTTGAAAGTAATACCTTAAGGTAGCATTAAGCATTACCGCAGATTAGAGGCAGAGCAAATTTCTCAGTATTAAGTCTAATTGCTGTACATGGGGTGATTACAGTCTTAAAGACACGTTGGATAAGAACGAATCGAAATTTGTCAGGCGCATTAGTTTCCGCAAAAATTCAGCACTGCGGTTGCTGCCATTAAACTGTATAAATGTATTATATCGGTTATAGGTAGGGGCGTGTGTACTTTAAGTAAACTCGTGCTCCTCGATTAAGTAACATCGCGATCAGCCTCATAATTGATTTGACATTTAGTTTTGTATACATTTGCTGTTCATACATTGTACATAAAGATTTGACTTCGCAAATATAACACGCATATATCGAGAGTAAACCGTGCGTCCTTGCTTCCGAATTTTTCCCCCATTTGCAATTTCTGCTTTAATTTTTTCATTCGCGTTCGCGACTCGAAAATAAAAACGATACCGTCCGGATTAAGGTCCCGATTGATCCGAGAATCAAAAGATAAGATCACGTCGGAGATTCGAGGTTAATAAACTATTGAAAAGAGACTGATTCCAGCAGGCATTGTCCGGGGATGATGCCGTACCATATTACTTCTACGTGTCGCCGTAATGCTCCCATAGAACCGACACAGAAGGGGATTGGTGGCCCTGTAATCTTCGCGGAACCTTTGTGCAGGTCGGATAAAGAAATATCTCGCGTCCTCCAGGGAGGAGCGCTTTAAATCGGGAAGAGAGGACGAATCCTTCCTTTCTTTCACTTTTCGAGAACGTCATCCCGTTCCTTGGCTGGAATTTTTATCATTTTATCGTTTCCCTTAAAATTCCACCTCCCTCCCGACCCGAATTTTTATCATTTTATCGTTTCGTTTAAAATTCCACCTCCCTCCCGACCCGAATTTTTATCATTTTATCGTTCCCCTTCAAATTCGCCCTCTCCCTCCGACCCGAATTTTTATCATTTTATCGTTTCCCTTAAAATTTGCCCTCTCTCTCCGACCCGAATTTTTATCATTTTATCGTTTCCCTTAAAATTGGCCCTCTCTCCCCGACCCTAATTTTTATCATTTTATCGTTTCCCTTAAAATTGGCCCTCTCTCCCCGACCCAAATTTTTATCATTTTATCGTTTTCCTTAAAATTGGCCCTCTCTCCCCGACCAAATTTTTATCATTTTATCGTTTCCCTTAAAATTGGCCCTCTCTCCCTGACCGAATTTTTATCATTTTATCGTTTCCCTTAAAATTGGCCCTCTCTCCCCGACCGAATTTTTATCATTTTATCGTTTCCCTTAAAATTGGCCCTCTCTCCCCGACCCAAATTTTTATCATTTTATCGTTTCCCTTAAAATTCGCCCTCTCTCCCCGACTCACTTTCAATATTAAGGCGAGATTTTAATTTACATCGTTAGAAACGACAGATCGACCGATCGTTCGGGTCGATCCATTGTATCGAAAGTCGACGAAAAATCGACTCGGGGCGATTTCCAAGATTTCACTCGGGAGAGGAATTCGATTGGGGGGCACTTGGGCGGGGGGTAAATCGCAAGTAGACGAGTACCTAGCAAGTGCGCGTCGTACTTCGGCTCGTCCCTACAAAGGCAACGGGAATCCACTTAGTTCCTCGGGCTCCAGGCCCGGTTCCCGCGGGATCGCGAGCTCCACTATCCACCGATGTCCGCCACTACCGGGGAGCAATTTCTCAATTTTCCCCGACTTTGTCATCTTCGCTTCGCTATTCGCCGGCGAAATAGAATTTCAGCCTCGAGTGGCGAAAGTCGGGAGACTCCCTCGACGCCCTCCGGAATATTTCTCAGAAGATCCACCGAGAATTTCCGACCCTCTGGGAGCCACCCTGGAGTTCTCCCTTTCGGATTTCACCCTTTCTTTGGGAAAATGGCATTACTCCGGAGTAAACGTGCATCGAGCCGGTATATTTCTCTCCGACTCCTCCGGCGAAAAATGGACATTAGAGACCTCGGCCGAGTAATAAAGCAAGGGTGGAAAAGCATGGGAGATTAGATTGGAATTTAAGGCCCCCTCGGAGGATCAAGGAAATCGGCGTGAATCATATAATTGTTTCGAATGTCTCCGGGTTCTCCGTCCCCCAGGCGAAACCACCCCAAGACCACCCCGAAGTGTAACCCCTGTTTGTCCGGGAGGAAGAGATCACCGCGAAGCACCCTTAAGTGCGATATACCGCGTCCCTCCGTGCATACAGGGGATGTAACTATGCGTTACATTGCCACCGAGAACGATTT